CTCATGGCTTTGCTCATTTGGGTAATGTGACAAATCTTAAACTCATGCAGATAAAACCTTTATGTGGCATTCTACAATTATGTATTCTCTGTTTCTCTTTTTCACTCACACAAATATGTGTAAAGTAATTTTCAAACTGGAATTCTGTCAGGACTCCAAACCTCGCACACCTGTGCAAAAGGTGCTATGAGATATTTAATGAGCATTATTGGCTGTATATTTGCTCTGGAAGGCAATCTTCCAAGTTCACCACCATAGACACTACCCACACTTTTTGTCACACAAACTGTGTGTCACGAACAGTTAAGCATGTTTATTTGCTGTTCTCCACCTGTGTTTCAGTTTTTCTTTTCCCACATCCCCTAAACAGACCAAACTATTCATAAAGGGTGAAATTCTACAAGCATTTCTATAACCTGGCACACTTCTGTGCTGAAATCTGCACTAGCTCTCAGTATAAGAGTTTGGAGGAGAACAAGAGAGTTGGGTAGTATAGATCCAGTATGTATGTTCAAAAGGGAGACAAATCATTGGTTACCTAACTTGTATTGCAGTTTTTGCAGAACTGGTTGACATATTTGTATATGCTGAACTCACTCCTCTCCTGTAGTCTTGCTCCTCCTCTTTCCCTCTCCTGCATGGGGAATAAATGAAGAACGAACACAACTTTTTGGTCTCTCATCTGCCTAGGAGTGGACTCCCTGAGCTTGTCCACCTGTTCCTTCCTGGTTTCAGCCCCTCTCCTAGTATCCTATTTACTTATGTATATGCCCAACTGGCTTATAGACAGGTCACTGATTATTAAATAACTGAAATATTCAAAGTAGTGCTGAGTTATATATAAATATATAAGACAATTGTTTTTAAGACATAAGTAACATCAAAAGAGGTGGTTATTGGAGACTTCAAGGAATTTTAAGGTCTTAAAATGGACAAAACAGTATAAGCATCCAAATCTGTTGATGGCTAGAGCACAGTCTATTTTGATTAATTATTATGTTGATCTTAATGCATTTTGTCTCTCAGTGCTATAGTCTAAAGTAATTGGGGTCCTATAAATACCATAGAACAGATTGATAGACAGGGTCCGGAACAACTGTGTTATGGCAGCTTTCTGAGGCATGAAGCCATATTTTTACTCCATGGAGAATAATAGAGTTGGCCAAACTCTTTCTTGACATCCACCCATTTCAGTTTGCAGTGGCAGACTGGAGAATTTCATGCTGATGGATGCCATGCAGTTTATATGACTCTCCATCCACATAAAGTCTGAGCATAAACATGTCTCTCTCAGGAATAGAACTTGGTCCAATAAAAGATATTACCTCACCCACCTTGTCTCTCTAATATCCTGGACCGACAGGGCTACAACAACACTGCGTACTGTGACAGGGTCGGGCCAGATGGCTACAGGAGAGTAATCGAAGGCAGATATATTAGCCCTAGGTTAAGTAGGTCCCTTTTCCCTGGGTAAGGTAACAGGGAAGGTTCCAGAACAATCAGGAACCTTCTGGAAACAATTAAGACAGACAGGCTGATTAGAACAGCCAATCAAGAAGCTGCTAGAATCAATTAAGGCAGGCTAATCAGGGCACCTGGGTTTAAAAAGGAGCTCACTTCAGCTTGTGGTGTGCGTGTGAGGAGGTGGGAGCAAGAGGTACTAGGAGCTGAGAGTGAGAACGTGGACCGTTGGAGGACTGAGGTGCACAAGCATTATCAGACACCAGGAAGAAGGTCCTGTAGTGAGAATAAAGAAGGTGTTGGGAGGAGGCCATGGGGAAGTAGCCCAGGGAGTTGTAGCTGTCGCACAGCTGTTCCAGGAGGCACTCTAGACAGCTGCATTCCACAGGGCCCTGGGCTGGAACCTGGAGTAGAGGGCAGGCCCGGGTTCCCCCCAAACCTCCCAACTCCTGGTCAGACACAGGAGGAGTTGACCTGGACTGTGAATTCAGAAAAATGACCAAGCTGAGGGCTGCCGTGAAGCTCCAAGGCGAGCAAATCCGCCAATGAGCGCAAGACCCACCAAGGTAGAGGAGGAACTTTGTCACAGTACATAAACGTGAGCCACACATGCATAGATCAGATACAGGTGAAGGCAGTTACAGGGTTTGATCAATAATCTTCACTACTAATGGAATTTCTTTGGCTCTTAGTTCCCAGTTACTGGCACCAGCAGAGAAGACTTCAGTGCTTTTAAGTGTCTCTGAAGAAATTAACATCTGGCCTGAATCCAAGACTTTCCAGTATTAGGTTACAGGCTATTGTGTTGGTGAAACACAACTTCTTTCTTAAAAGACAAAGAGATGCTGGATTGAATATTAAACCTCCCTATGATGGGAGAGCAATTAGCAGCCACAAACAGTTACAGATATAAAGTTTAAGGTGAAAGGTAAAAAGTTCAGTTGTTAAATACAATTTTTAACCTTAACATAGTTTGTTTCCTACCACTTACAGTGACTTAAAAACTGCAGTCTTGTAGAATTGTAAACATTCTTAAAAAGGAAACAACATTCCCCAAGTTTTAGAAGTAACTTAAAAGAAAAACTTTACTTTAAAATTGATTAGTTGATTTTAAAAAGCAATCATTTGAATGGTTAATAAACCAGTCCAAGCCAAACCAGTCCTCTTTCTTTTTGTGCCCAGTCAGCCAGGGCATCTGTGCAGCAGTGAGTTCAAGGAAATAACATACCTGTTTCAATAGTACTTTCAGGTGGATTTGTCATTTAAAAAATAACCACACCTTTTATATGGCTCTGTGTAGGTTGGCCATGCTAAATAAGTCACCTATAATAAGACATATTACCAAATTTAACATTGTTTCTCTAAGGTCATTTATCTGTCAAAAACTCATGTGTGCCTCCTTCTGTTAGAGGAAATGTTAGTTTCATATGATTATATTAAATTAGCCTGATCTCTAAGATGTTTGGGGATCAAATATGTCCCCAGAAAATTGGATGCTTATCTGAACTTCCAATAGTCCTCCAATCCCTAAACACCCCTGTCCCTAAGCAGATTTTCACTATGTGGAATTGTCTTCTTGGGGGGGATATCTAGTGTCCTGCCCCTCTGGCATCTTTAGGGGAGGAAGGCATTCTCATCATCCTCTCTGTGCTGAAGCCTCAGGGCTTCTACTTTCCTTGTCTCTCTCCATGGTAGGAAGGTGGGCTCAGGGCTACTACTGTTTTCTCTGCTCTGAAGGTGGAGGATCTTGTGGTTTCCTTTCCCTCATTCTTATGTGACTTTTTGCCCTAACTTCCACATTGTTGGATACCCAACCTCTACACTCCTCCAACTAGGTCTTTCCATCTCCCTGGGAATCCCATTCCCCTTATCCCTTTTTCTCCCTTCCCATCTGTGTCTCCCTTGTGAGTGTCTCCCCTTAACTCCTGAACAGGAGGGAGAAATGGGCCATTCTGCACCTCTCTGTATCTCACCCACCCCAGCCAATTACTGCAGCCTTAGAGTGCGGAGTTAGAAACTGCCCCTTGGCTGGTGAATATTCAGCTTCCCCAGTTGTTCTCTTAGCCCATGTGCTGATTTCTAGCCTCCAGCAGAGACCATAGTTGCTGAGAAAGGGAGCAAGGGAATGTAAAAGGAGCTGATTGACACAGGCCTCTGGTTGATTCCCACAGTGGCCCCTATTGGCAGCAGGCAAAAATTATGTATATGTTTTTAACAGCTTAGGGAAAAAGATATCCAGGGGCTATGGCCAGGACTGCAAATACTCAGGACACTCCCAGCCAAAATGGGGCAGCTGGCAAGCCAGTGGTAAATATGGTGCTTGTTATTGTTTTTAATTATTCATACTAACCAGAGGACATTTGGAAATCTTCGGCCAAATCCTCACTCAAAACTCCCAGTGACTTCAGTTACCCAGACCAGCTTGCTTTAGTGGGAGCTGAATGAGTAAGGATTGAGTAAAGGCAGCAGGATTTGGCACAGAACACGTAATTCGACAATAGTTAAAACCTGGATCCTAGGCACTGGGTCTTAGGCCCTTGATGGTGAAGTTCGAAGACGTCAAAAATAGTTCATGGTCCCAATTAATCAATAAAACAAAGGTGCAAACATTAGAAATATGTTTCTTTAAGCAATATATTTAGGGCCAGATTGTGATGGGGTTTTGCTGGGATTGAAGGGGAACAGACGAACCTCCCCAGCTTGGTTAGCTCATGCAAGGGCCTGTCCCAGTTGTTTAAGGGAGCTCAGGGACTTCTCTTTCATTGTGGCCCTAGAGACAGCCAGTATTCCAAAGAGCTATAAACTAGTATCATCAATTAGTAAAATGCGCCAATGGAGAACTCTAGGAGGGCGTGAGGTTGATGACTTTGAACCACCGCCAGATAAGTAGATTATTCTTTCTCTCATTCTCAAAATCTCTAAACTTTGAGAGCTTTCTGATTACATGGCCACTTCTTGTTCTCAGAACAGTTCCTTCTGCAGTGGCAGGTCTGGAGACTGAGGTGGATCCACCACCTAGAACTTGTATTTGCCATTCCTGGTATTTTTCATTGTCACTGACTGAATCATATGTTACTTCTGTCAGCACAGAAGCACCACCACTAGCATTTTGGATACCCACAAGAAATAGATCACCAAAGTTTTCATTCATTTTTTTTAGTGTTCTTCTGTTCCTCCTGTAGGACTGACACTGAGGGGGACCTTGCTGCAGATGAGATAAAGTTTACACTGGCAGGTTGCCAGACACTTTTCTGTAAGGATTCTAACATTTTCTCTCACCTGCGTGGCTAACTGTTTGGCATTCTTGTTATAGCATTTCTTCTTCTCTACTTTCTTAGATTCTTCGTATCTCTTGAGATTTAATTGTTTTTGACTCAATAAGCTTGCTAGAAGTTGGCACTGAAGTTGTTGTCCTTCTGCCTATTGAGTATCTGAAGTGGTGAGCCTAGTAAATAAATGTGGGGTGTATTGCAATACTTTAACAATGCTAACTATGGACCCCATGAATGTGCCAGAGCTTTTTTTTTAATGAAGTTCTTTGATGTTTGAACTTGACTTTTATGTTCATAAATTTGATTGTAAGGACTTGATGTGATCTACTTGAACTGATGTTCAAAGAAAATTACCAAAATGAGGCATTTATAGATTGTTGGCCATTATGTGTTGTTTACTCATCTGGAATCATATGGTGAAAAAATTACAGTTTACATTGTATTATTACATTGCTGCTCAATATGTCATGTAAAAGGTTAATTTAAAAAACAACTGAGTAATATTCCACCAGTAAGAGGTAATCATTTCCATTTCATTCAAACACATCTGTGCCAACCTTGGGCCAAGTGCAATCAGGAATCTCATGTGGTTTCAGTGGGTTTTTTGCATTCTGTTTCCTGTATTTATTGCAGATTTCCACTTGGATACCTTATCTTTGATGGCAGCATGCATGCCAGGCCAGAACAGAACATCTTGGGCTCTGTTCCTGCACTTCTCAATACTCAAATGGGCACTGTAGGTTATACCTAGCATTTCCAACCTCATGTTGTGTGGTGCTATGACAATGTCCTTTGTACAGAATCCCATCATATGCAGCAATTTCATCTCTATAGTCACAATATGTTTTTTTTACTTGGAGGTGCCTGGGCTTTTCCTGTTAGCCATCGTCTAGAATAACTTGCTCAAGCTCTTGAAAGGTTGGATCATTTCATGTTTCTAGCTTGAATTTGTCTAATTTTGTATCAGAAATGGGTACTTGAGTCATATTTGCATAAAACCCCTCTTCCTTGTTTTCACTGTTTAAAAGCAGCTTTAAGAGCATGCCTTCTATGAGAAGCTCTTTACCAGGCATTTGCATTCCACTTGCATTTCTAATGCTGCAAGGTACTCCTCATAGGCACAGGATCTGTCAGCATGAAGTAGCTTTGCAATTTCTCTATAATTTTCTGAAGTCTGGACTGTGCTTTGCACAATGGTCCCCTGTAATATCCCAACAGTTTATGGTCTGTTTCTACATTGACTAATTTTTGCCGATAACAATATTCATGAAATCATTCACAACCAAAACCTATTGCCAGCATTTCTTTTTCTCGCTGGACATAGTTCTGTTGTATTTTAATCAGTGCTTTAGAAGCATATGTCATTTAGACATCATCTGGCAGAAGCACAGCCTCAATCCCTGTGGGCTTGCATTGATTTAGGGCAATATTTTGAAAAGTCCCTGGCTGACTTAAGAACCTATGTCCCATTTTCAAAAGTAATGTAGGCATTTCGTAATCTAAGCCCTGGTCTACACTAGGAGTTGAGGTCGAATTTAGTAGCGTTAAATCGATTTAACCCTGCACCCGTCCACATGACGAAGCCCTTTGTTTCGACTTAAAGGGCTCTTAAAATCGATTTCCTTACTCCACCCCCGACAAAGGGATTAGCGCTGAAATCGGCCTTGCTGGGTCGAATTTGGGGGTACTGTGGACACAATTAGATGGTATTGGCCTCCGTGAGCTGTCCCAGAGTGCTCCATTGTGACCACTCTGGACAGCACTCTCAACTCAGATGCACTGGCCAAGTAGACAGGAAAAGGCCCATGAACTTTTGAAATTCAATTTCCTGTTTGGCCAGCGTGGCAAGCTGCAGGTGACCATGCAGAGCTCATCAGCAGAGGTGACCATGATGGAGTCCCAGAATCGCAAAAGAGCTCCAGGATGGACCGAACGGGAGGTACAGGATCTGATCGCTGTATGGGGAGAGGAATCCATGCTATCAGAACTACGTTCCAGTTTTCGAAATGCCAAAACCTTTGTCAAAATCTCCCAGGGCATGAAGGGCAGAGGCCATAACAGGGACCCGAAGCAGTGCCGTGTGAAACTTAAGGAGTTGTGGCAAGCCTACCAGAAAACCAGAGAGGCGAACGGCCACTCCGGGTCAGAGCCCCAAACATGCCGCTTCTATGATGAGCTGCATGCCATTTGAGGGGGTTCAGCCACCACTACCCCAGCCGTGTTGTTTGACTCCTTCAATGGAGATGGAGGCAACATGGAAGCATGTTTTGGGGACAAGGAAGATGATGATGATGAGGTTGAAGGTAGCTCACAGCAAGCAAGCGGAGAAACCGGTTTTCCCAACAGCCAGGAACTTGTTCTCACCCTGGACCTGGAGTCAGTACCCCCCGAACCCACCCAAGGCTGCCTCCCAGACCCGCCAGGTGGAGAAGGGACCTCTGGTGAGTGTACCTTTTAAAATACTATACATGGTTTAAAAGCAAGTATGTTTAATGATTAATTTGCCCTGGCATTCGCAGCTCTCCTGGATGTACTCCCAAAGCCTTTGGAAAAGGTTTCTGGGGAGGGCAGCCTTATTCCATCCACCATGGTAGGACACTTTACCACTCCAGGCCAGTAGCACGTACTCAGGAATCATTGTAGAACAAAGCATTGCAGTGTATGTTTGCTGGTGTTCAAACAACATCCATTCTTTATCTCTCTGTGTTATCCTCAGGAGAGTGATATCATTCATGGTCACCTGGTTGAAATAGGGTGCTTTTCTTAAGGGTTTCAGAGTAACAGCCGTGTTAGTCTGTATTCTCAAAAAGAAAAGGAGTACTTGTGGAACCTTAGAGACTAACCAATTTATTTGAGCATAAGCTTTCGTGAGCTACAGCTCACTTCATCGGATGCACCCGATGAAGTGAGCTGAGCTCACAAAAGCTTATGCTCAAATAAATTGGTTAGTCTCTAAGGTGCCACAAGTACTCCTTTTCTTTTTCTTAAGGGGACATTCAGAGGTGCCCATTCCTGCTGGGCTGTTTGCCTCTGGCTGAATAGAAATGTTCCCCGCTGTTAGCCACGGGGAGGGGGGAGGGGCTAGCCACACGTTGGGGGGAGGCAAAATGCAACCTTGGAACGAAAGCACATGTGCTATGTATGTAATGTTAACAGCAAGGTTTACCGTCAAAGAGTGTACCCATTGTTCTATAAAATGTGTCTTTTTAAATACCACTGTCCCTTTTTTTTTCTCCACCAGCTGCATGTGTTTCAAGGATCACAGGATCTTTTCCTTCCCAGAGGCTATCGAAGATTAGAAGGCAAAAAAAATGCACTCGCGATGAAATGTTCTCTGAGCTCATGCTGTCCTCCCACACTGACAGAGCACAGACGAATGTGTGGAGGCAGACAGTGTCAGAGTGCAGGAAAGCACAAAATGACCGGGAGGAGAGGTGGCGAGCTGAAGAGAGTAAGTGGCAGGCTGAAGAGAGGGCTGAAGCTGAAAGGTGGCGGCAGCGTGATGAGAGGAGGCAGGATTCAATGCTGAGGCTGCTGGAGGATCAAACTAATATGCTCCAGCATATGGTTGAGCTGCAGGAAAGGCAGCAGGAGCACAGACGGCTGCTACAGCCCCTGTGTAACCAACCGCCCTCCTCCGCAAGTTCCATAGCCTCCTCACCCAGACGCCCAAGAATGCAGTGGGGGGGCCTCCGGCCACCCAGCCACTCCACCCCAGAGGATTGCCCAAGCAACAGAAGGCTGGCATTCAATAAGTTTTAAAGTTTTAAACTTTTAAAATGCTGTGTGGCCTTGTCCTTCCCTCCTCCACCACCCCTCCAGGTGCTTCTCTCCTCCACCACCCCTCCTGGGCTACCTTGGTAGTTATTCCCCTATTTGTGTGGTGAATTAATAAAGAATGCATGAATGTGAAGCAACAATGACTTTATTGCCTCTGCAAGCGGTGATCAAAGGGAAGAGGGGAGGGTGCTTAGCTTACAGGGAAGTAGAGTGAACCAAGGGGCGGGGGGTTTCATCAAGGAGAAACAAACAGAACTTTCACACCGTAGCCTGGCCAGTCATGAAACTGGTTTTCAAAGCTTCTCTGATGCGCATTGCGCCCTCCTGTGCTCTTCTAACCGCCCTGGTGTCTGGCTGTGCGTAACCACCTCAACCTCCTTTTCCCCGTTACTCTCACAGAGATTGTGGAGCACAGAGCAAGCAGTAATAACAGTGGGAATATTGGTTTCGCTGAGGTCTAACCGAGTCAGTAAACTGCGCCAGCGTGTTTTTAAACATCCAAATACACATTCTACCACCATTCTGCACTTGCTCAGCCTGTAGTTGAACAGCTCCTGACTACTGTCCAGGCTGCCTGTGTATGGCTTCATGAGCCATGGCACTAAGGGGTAGGCTGGGTCCCCAAGGATAACTATAGGCATTTCAACATCCCCAACGGTTATTTTCTGGTCTGGGAATAAAGTCCCTTCCTGCAGCTTTTGAAACAGACCGGAGTTCCTGAAGATGCGAGTGTCATGTACCTTTCCCAGCCATCCCACATTGATGTTGGTGAAACGTCCCTTGTGATCCACCAGAGCTTGCAGCACTATTGAAAAGTACCCCTTGCGGTCTATGTACTCGCCGGCTTGGTGCTCCGGTGCCAAGATAGGGATATGGGTTCTGTCTATGGCCCCACCACAGTTAGGGAATCCCATTGCAGCAAAGCCATCCACTATGACCTGCACATTTCCCAGGGTCGTTACGCTTGATATTAGCAGATCTTTGATTGCGTTGGCTACTTCCATCACAGCAGCCCCCACAGTAGATTTGCCCACTCCAAATTGATTCCCAACTGACCAGTAGCTGTCTGGCATTGCACGCTTCCACAGGGCTATCGCCACTCGCTTCTCAACTGTGAGGGCTTCTCTCATCTTGATATTCATGCGCCTCAGGGCAGGGGAAAGCAAGTCACAAAGTTCCATGAAAGTGCCCTTACGCATGCGAAAGTTTCGCAGCCACTGGGAATCATCCCAGACCTGCAACACTATGCGGTCGCACCAGTCTGTGCTTTTTCCCGAGCCCAGAATCGGCGTTCCACCGCATAAACCTGCCCCATTAGCACCATGATGCCCACATTGCCAGGGCCCGTGCTTTGAGAGAAGTCTGTGTCCATGTCCTCATCACTCTTGCCGCGCTGACGTCGCCTTCTCACCTGTTTTCGCTTTGCCAGGTTCTGGTGCTGCATATATTGCTGGATAATGCGTGTGGTGTTTAATGTGCTCCTAATTGCCAAAGTGAGCTGAGCGGGCTCCACGCTTGCCATGGTATGGCGTCTGCACAGAAAAAAGGCGCGGAATGATTGTCTGCCGTTGCCCTGTTGGAGGGAGGGGCGACTGACGACATGGCTTATAGGGTTGGCTTATAGGGAATTAAAATTAACAAAGGGGGTGGCTTTGCGAGAAACTGAATGGCCCCCACAAGGATAGAACTCAAAACCTCAAAACTGGGTTTAGCAGGCTGTTGATTTCACGGAGGGAGGGAGGAGAAAATGAATACAAAACAAATCTGGTCTATTTCTTGTTTTGAGCCACTTCATCTATCTTGCTTTATACATCTTGCTGGCAGCAGACTGTGCAGTACGACCACTAGCCATCATCATCTCCTGGGTGCTCGGCAGAAGACGGTGCAGTGTGACTGCTGGCCATCATCTTCTGCTGGCTGCTGATTAAAAGACAGTGCACTGCCGATAGGACTCAATCGCCATGAGACGAAACTTAAAAGGGAAATGACCTGGCTGAGTCACTCCCATGTTTGCTCAGGCGCCCCGGACCTCATCGAGGTCAGTTAAAAGAGCACCCTGGACTACGTCAACGACGGCTACCAGTCATACTGCACTGTCTGCTGCCAAAAGGCAATAAACTGCTGCTGTGTAGCAATGCAGTACCGCATCTGCCAGCACCCAGGAGACATACGGTGAGAGTGAGCTGAGCGGGCTCCATGCTTGCCGTGGTATGGCGTCTGCACAAGTAACTCAAGAAAAAAGGAGCAAAACGATTCTCTGCCCTTGCTTTCACAGAAGGAGGGAGGGAAGGAGGGCCTGACGATATGTACCCAGAACCACCCGCGACAATGTTTTAGCCCCATCAGGCACTGGGATTTCTACCCAGAATTCAAATGGGTGGCGGAGACTGCAGGAACTGTGGGATAGCTACCCACAGTGCAACGCTCTGGAAGTCGACAGTTGCCTCGGTACTGTGGACACACTCCGCCGACTACATGCACTTAGAGCATTTGTGTGGGGACACACACAATCGACTGTATAAAAATGCTTTCTACAAAACCGACTTCTATAAATTCGACCTTATTTCGTAGTGTAGACATAAGTCTCATTGACCTTCAGTGGTAGTTAGGCATAAGTCACTTTTGAAAATGGGACTTAGGGCTTGTCTACACGGTTCATTGGTCTGCACCAGAGGGGTGTAAATTCTAGTGCACACTAGCATATTGTGCATTAATTGGTCTGTGTGGACCCTGCTGGCATGCACTAAAAGTTCCCTAGGGCAAGTTAATGTGTGAAAGGGAATTACATTAATGTGCACTAGGGAACTTTCACTGTGTGCCACCAGGTGCCACATTGGCTAGTTAGTGCACAATACACACTAGAATTTACACCCCTCTGTTGCGGACTCATGCACCGTGTCGACAAGCCCTTAGGTTCTTAAACCATTTAGGTACTTCTGAAAATTTTCCTTTTAGTTCTTAGGCTCTTTATTAATCTCAAAATATTTCAGCACTGATGCTTCTGTAATAATTTATTTCAATCTCCAAAAGCTTTCCTCCTATCAGTCATCCCGGTGCTATTCTGAACTGTCCCCAAGCAGCATTCTGAGGGGAGCAATTGTGACGAATTAGTGATGAATTTGCTTATATATGTTAACATGCCCATGAATCTCTCTAAGGCCTCCTTGTCTTGGAGTCTTTCCATTTGTACAATTGCTTCCACCTTCTTTGGGTTTGTCGCTGAGTATGTGCCCTACATAATTTGTTCATGTTCAATTCAAGGGTCTTTTTCTTTGGCACAGTGCAATCTCTCATTGTTTTGTTGATCATTTTTGCCTTAGATCAGCAGATCATAAACAATTGCTTCCATCCCATTCAGATCCTCAAAGATCTGGGGCATGATGCAAAGTGCTGAGGCAATCCCAAAGGGAAGTTACTTAAGCATGTATTTACCAAAAAAGGAGTTGCAGAGTTTTGTACTTTCTGTTTTGTGTCAGACCTGCCAAAACCCTTAGGTTGCACCCCTAAAACTACTCTTGCATTTTAAAGTCTAGACACGCTCATTCAAATCCACAGGCGGTGTAAGTTAGCATTGCTCCATTGACTTCAAGGGACTGTCACTGATACACACCTGCTGAGGATTTAGCCATATGTCTTCAGCTGTTCTTGTGGGTTAGCGTTAATGTTTGGTTGCCTTACTTAAACCAGGTTTCAGAGTAACAGCCGTGTTAGTCTGTATTCGCAAAAAGAAAAGGAGTACTTGTGGCACCTTGGAGACTAACCAATTTATTGCTTATGCTCAAATAAATTGGTTAGTCTCTTAGGTGCCACAAGTACTCCTTTTCTTTTACTTAAACCATAAATCCTTAACCTGTTTGATTTTAAAATGGAGACCACACTATTAATTCAGTTGGTTTCTATATTTGTACAATAACATCTAATTTTGTCATCTGGTCAAGTTCACCTTTTTTATTTCATATCTCATTACTAATGAGACTTTATATGGTGCATATATTTTTGTGGTACAATTATATCTATATCAGTGTGTTGTTTTATAGCCTTAATATATATTACAGTCCTTTAAACATCTTATCATATTCTTTAAAAGTATTTTTAGTATCTTGTTCAGTGGAACTTACACAGACATTTGCACACTACTCTCTAGTCCTAAAACACATACTTTTTACACTTTTTCCAAATCTGCTGAATGATTTTACTTCTTCTACAGACATGCCAGTGTGGCTTCACCACATGGGCTCATTTTTTGCCCACTCTCTGGGACAAGGTTTATTGTTTTATTTGAACATTGGCCGTCATTAATCTTTTTGTGTACACTGACTCTGCTTACTTTGCACTTTGCTCCAGTACTGATTTTCACATTAATTTTATTCATTTATTTTCAACGTGTCAAACCAATGTGTTGCATAAACATGCTTTGTAAATTATTAAGATTCAATAAAGAGTGTTGATTCATCATCCATCATCATCATCATTGTAGCTTTTTCATCCAGCTGTTTGTTCATGAATGCATTTTGTTTTATTATTTCTTTGCAACTTGTGTTGCGAGCAACACACTTCTGTAAAATGGTTACAACTGACTATGCCATGACCAAGGTCCCATGAATTCTGCAGTAAGCTAGATATAAATTCAATGACAAAGTGTGTGCTTCTGTGGCACTCCAATGCAGTGCACTGGAAGTTCTGCAATGAAATCATTTAAATTTAAATACTGAAGGTTTATTTTTAGTTAAGCCACTAGGAAAATAAATGTCAGGACAGTGGCCATTTTCTTTTTTGCTATTCCGTTTATTTTATGGTGTCTCCCATTATCACATCTCAAGTCCCATAGAGTTTTCAACTGATGACATGTAATTCCATCATAGAAAATATCAGTGGAAGCTGTGGTTTGGCTGCTGTGTAGCAGAGATTTGGAGATTTGTGAACCTGGAGAGGAAACAGAGGCAATGTGGGATTTGGGGCATATTATTGTTATTATTACTATTATTATTTATTTGTTCTTTGTATTGCAGAAGTACCTTGAAGCCCCATGTCAAGGTTCCTCCCCCACTCTGAACTCTAGGGTACAGATGTGGGGACCTGCATGAAA